GGCTTAAAAAGGGGCAATTAAATCTCCAGTTGTTTCGCGCACATGGGTACATGGCTAAGAGGTTTCCGAAGTTCTTCCCTTACACTCGCAAATCCAGTCCAACTAGGCCAAAGGAAAGGAAAGATTACTCTGACCTATGAACCAAAAAATGCAAAAGCATAAAACCATGACAGCCTCAGAGAAGGCCAGGGGCGGGGGTGGGGTGGAGGGGAGACAAACCCATTATCTTTCAAGCAACACACAGCAACACTAACAACTCCCCATAAGAACAAGAACCTCAAGTTCAAGAGACGGCTTTATTCTATTGGGTTATTGGAAAAGTCATGACACATTTTTGCAAAGAAAAACAGGAAAAATACGTCATGGCTTTTCCAACAACCCAATATTTTGATTCTGCATTTACTCTACAATTACTAGTGGAAAGAAACAAGGTCTGACAGATGACAGGTGCTCCAAAAATTCTGTTGAATAAAGCACACAGCACAGACCCCGGCACCGAAGTTTCAGTAATGGTAACCATAGATCTTATTAGTATAATCATCTTAACCGGCGGAATGTGAGGGCTCAGGCAGTATCCTCGGGAGTTGTGTTCTAAAGGAACAGAGAGAAAGAGAGCTGGCCAGATTGCTATTTCACTTTCACAGCCATAGAATAAAAAAGAAAACTTACCACTTCTGCCAATAATTTAGGAACACACTACAACACCTCCATATCAAACTCAGACTAAGAGGAAACACCTGATATGTGGCACGTCTCCCCCATGAACCTGACCCGGTTCTTTTTTCCCTCTCAACCCAACATTGGAACCCAAGGCAACGCTGTTTGCTCCAGGCTCTTCCAAATACCCAGACCACATTCTTTCCTTCCCTCCTCAAAACTTTTCAGGATGAGGCCCTTCTGGGTCTTGGAAGCTAACATATGATTATACATTTCTGATAAGACTAACCTCATGAAGACAAAAAAAAATCAATAAAAATAAAAGCAGCAGCTCACACTTGGGTGTTTACTGTATCAGGCACTGTACCAAATGCTTTCAACACAACACATTCTCTCACCCAAATCCTCCCCTGCAGTGGGTATTATTTCCATGTCACCAATGAAAAATCTGAGGCACAGGTATTAGGTATTAAATAACTTGTCCAAGGATACAAATTTACAAAATGCCAGAACCTGCATTCGAACCCATATTATCCCTCCCGTTTGGACTCCTAGTCACTGAGATTACAGACTACTTCTCAAAGGGGGTTCAGATGGTAAATAGCTATGCTTTTATTCTGAGTCTTGTCGGAAGACAGAATTGCCAACAACCAAAATCTTCTGAAATAAACACCATAATAAAGACATGTCTAAAAAACGTGTATGGCTGTAGAACAGAAGTCCTTGAAATATATTTACAAGCAAGGAAGATATGGGGGTTTCATGTATTTTTAGTTTTCACTTCCTTGGAAACACTTCAAGTTCTAGACCTCAGCATTTCCATAAAGATAAATAATCCACAGGGGAAAACTGTTGCTTACCTAGACAGTGAGGATCTGATATTGGAAGTGTTTAAACTCAGATGACTGAAGAAATCTGAAAAGCAGAAGTTGATTAACTCATGACTATGAGAATAGCTTAACAATCTTCACTGAGATAGAAAAAGCAACACTTAGCACCTAACTACCAGAGACCCCAATGGTCCAAGCAGACTTAAAAGTAGGTAAACAAAACAAAGAAATCCATTTCTACCTGTAATTCCCCAAACAGGACTCACAGCTTCATGAATAACAGAGAAGAAAGGCCAACCAGGGCCTGAACACCATTGCGCTGCCAGCTCCCACTGACTTTACCCTCTTTCCTCTGACTCTTTCTAATTTGGCCTAACTCACCACCCCAGGGAACTGGTTAGAGAAAGGTCCTTTAGCAATCCTATAGAGAAAGTACTGCATAGGCCAGCTTGTGCATGGACACTGGAGGGTCTCAAAAAAAGTCTATATTTCCCATTCTCAATAAAAATAACCAGTAAAAGAACTTGGCAACCCAATTTGCATGTACATACTCAAAACTTATTACAGAATTAGAATTAAACACGAGAGAGAGAGAGAGAGAGAGAGAGAGAGAGAGAGAGAGAGAGAGAGAGAAAGAGAGAGAGAGGCGCGCACAATATGGAGTGAATGTTTCAAAGGATTATGTGGTAGTTTGCTTTTCAATGTCTTGGAATATGAAATGCTTAAGTAACACTACTGTTATACAACCCTGACAAAAAAATCATTGACTCTCTGACTCCATTGTCCATCCTGACACTCTACTGTAGAGAGCCATGAAACACTGTGAGTAGTGTCCCCAGTCAGTGTCATACCTCCTCTTCCCAGAAATTCAAGTCTGTGGAAACCTAATATGAGGTTGAACCAGGCTTAGACCACAGAGCCCTAGGTTTGGCTAGATCTCGGCTGAGTTAAACCTAGGTGAGCTGTTTTTAACTTGCAAATCTCTAAATGCTATTAAGAGATTTGCTATTAAGCTCACCGGCATACCTCTTAGTTCATGCATAGAACTATAGTAAAGTTATGACAAAAGATATAAAGGAGCTTTGGGCATCACTAGAAATCTAGACCTAAGGAGACAGGAGATATAAAATATGGTGGGGGGGCCGCAAAGGTCGGGAAGCACGTCATCCAGACCCTGGGAATTACTGAGTCTGATATTGTCAGACCACACTCAAACTTAAGAGATAAAACTTGCATTGCTGTTAAATATTCAATACTCTTTAAATTTCTTGGAAAACTTGATAAATGATTTGTTTTAAAGCAGGATATTTACCTCAAGAACAAACATTCTATCCATCATGCTTCTCGATGAGGTGGGGTCAGCAACAATACAATCCTCAACACCATGGCCAACCAGCTCCAGAGCTATTTTTTGGATGCACGTATGAGTCTAATGGGAAAGTAAAAAATCCTATAATGCGGTCAAAGAAAAGCATTTTACAATGTGCAGCAGCATGATAAAGCAGGGAGCGCACTAAGGGCTAACGGCCGTGTCCTACACCTAGCTTTGCCTCTAGGGCGCCAGGTGACCTTGTGCTTACACAGCATCTCTGGCTTTGGTTTCCACTTTGTAAAGTCAGGAATCAAATGACATCAAAATTCCTATGGCCGGCCGAGTGGCTCAGTTGGTTAAGAGCTCGCTCAAGAGTTTGAGCTCTGAGCAACAGTGGTTCAAGTCCAGCCCGAGCTGAGCAGCAGCTGAGCTGCCAACAGGTAGCAGGATGGCTCAGCTAAAAAACAAAACAAAACAAAACAAAATTCCTTATATTAGGAACCTTGGACATATTCTTAGAGCTCTGTGAGAATTTTTTAAAACATTGTCACCCATGTCATCTGGGTGGCCTTTATACAGCTGACTACTACCACTTGGTTTTGATGCCACTTGCTGTTGGGTTTATTTCTGAATTTACACCAAGTGCCTAACAAAAAGAAGGCAGATTGTGAAAGTAATTGGAAAACTGAGTCGTTCCAAGGCACCCAGGAGTCAAGGTAGGCCAAGTTAAAAATAACTTGTGACACGGGCAGAAAAAATACAGTCTATGTCACCAGCAAATGTATTATACAGGTTCCATCTCTGTAAGCACTAACTTGTAACAATTCATTAGCAGAGACTGTAGAGTACAAACATGCTCCAACAATAACCGGATTATACAACCAATAAAAGCAGATTTCAATAATGCCATGATGCCAACCTTACCTTCACATGACAGGGGAGCTTTGGAGAATATCAACTGACACCTCATTAAAATTAGCACTAGAGGACTGCTCAAAGATGATTTGCATTACACATGAGGTCTAATAATGATGAATGGGCAAAAAAAGTGCAAAAGTCAGCAGCAGCATTTAGCGTGACATTTATACACACAGGCTTCCTTCCACTACTGAAGTCAAAATACAGAAATATAACGTACATCTAAACCAGAGACTCCACTTTTCTACTATTAAAACCCACTACTATAAAACCTACTATCAAAATATCATAAGTATATTAAATTAATATTATTTGGATTTCATTGTTTTTACATTTTTCATAATTTTTAAATTTTAGTTCAATAGTTGTTTAAAAGCTATGAACAAATACGTACTTACATTCTGTTTATACATGTCCTAGTCCACAACATGGGGAGACCAAGAGGACTTAGCTCAAAGGACTGCTGTGGGAGTTTAATGAATTAATATCGGGGGTGTCAAAAAAATGTGTACACATGGCTTGTATTCAAATTTAGTTATTGGTATATATTATTACAATTTGATACAGTTTTTTCCTTTCTTAAAATGTGTATTCATTTTTTGACACCTTCTGTATATATAAAGTGTTTAGATCAGTGCCATGCAAAAAGTCAACACTTAATAAACAGTGGCTATTTTTCATCATAATTATCACCTAATGGTATTCTATATTCAAAACTGCATTCTGGAAACGTCAAGTTTTCTACAAATGATATTATGTCCAAAACATAACACTCCTACTCCACATCACACAACATTCCTGACTCCAGGAAATTCTGCAAATCCCGCTACGGCTTCTGGTAATCCCACTGAAAACCTGGTCTTTGCAAGTACCAGTCTTACACCTATTAAATCAATTTCTTTTTTTTTTTTTAAGATTTTTATTGGGGAATTGGGGGATGGGAACAGCACTGAGGAATTGGGGGAAGGGGAACAGACAAGTTGCTGTCCTTTTGTTCTTCAATCTAGTTGTGGAGGACATTGCTTCACTAGCCCAAGTTGGCACCATCATTGCACTCTTCCCGGGGGAGGCAGTTCAGTCACCAACTTCTGGATGGCCGCTCATGGTGGCTGCTGGCCGCTCATGCTGGCTGCCGGCCACATACGGTAGCCCATGGCAACCCACTGCAGCAGAGGCTGCAGCCTATGCCGTCGCCGGAGACTCACAGCAGCCCAGCTCCAGGTTGAGCTGTTGTTCACCATCTTAGCTGTAGAGGGCAGTGTCACTGGCCCTCATATGTGGGATCCAAACCGGGGCCCTCTGGCGTCCCAAGCCAGCTCTTAACCAAATGCGCCACTCGGCCAGCCCTAAATCAATTTCTTGAACAGTGCTTCCAAGACCTTTAGGGTACTGTTCTGTTACAAAAACTGGAATTCCGAAAATCCGGGCCCCTTATAACTGGAAAACAACAACAACAACAAAGATAATTAGCAATACACATATGTGTGTATATACTCGTATGAATGTATATAATGCTTCAGTAAATTGGAGAAATTAAACAAGCATACCGATCTTTGTCCCACACTAATAATATTCCCAAAATACTTGATGGTTGGTCTGAACCTTTCCTGCATATCACAGCAGAAACACACAGTGCTTGAAGGTGTAAGATTTTCCAGGGTAGTGAGCTGAGGAAAAAAGAAAACAGAATGATTTAGCACTCATTACACAATGACATTTTTTGCAGTGGAGTTCAATAAAGGAAGAAAAATGGTCCCAGTGTTTGACCCTGTAAGTCAATTATTACTATTACTATTACCCAAAAGAAGTTATCTGAATTACAGAAAAAAAAAATCTATGAAGATGTTCACTGAACTGCTTGTAATAGTGAAAAAATAGCAATAAACTAAGGACAACAAGACAGAAATGATTTCACAAATTTTAACACATTCACATGACACAACATTTTTAGGCAATTAAAATAACATATGCATATGTTTTCAAAGAATTTGTACCATCTAAGAAGAAATTATCATAATCTAATGTTAATTTTAAAAACAGCACAGCACAATAGTAATTCCATAAAGTAAAAATATGAATAAAAAGAAGCAAATATATGAAAATAATAAGTGGTTATACACTTAGGGGTGGTGGGAATATTTTTTCTTTATGCCTTTCTTATATTTTCCAAGTGCTATTTAAAAACATTTCCTGAATGCTATTTAAAAATCTGTACTACTTTTATAATCAGAAAAAAATGTTACAACAGTAAAAACCTTAAATTTGATGAGGGCATTGCTTACAGCGTAAAATTTAAAATAATTTGTAGCAGAGACCATGGAACATAAAACTAAAAAAGCAGGTAGAAACAAATCCAGAATTACTGCTATCCAACAAGCTTTTGTAAAATTACACACTGACTCTATAATTCAGACTTCTTACTTTAACTCATGAATTTCTCTTAAGCCAAACTTTGTAGATAACTAAAAATTCTGCTCACAGTCAAACGTTTACATATTTCAACTACAAGACAGCAAATTAAAAGTAGACTTAACCAAATGCCATCACAAGTAAACTAGCAATTACACATCAATGCTTATTTAAAAATCTGAAAAAAATCACATATAAAAATATATACAAGGTCGGACAAATAAGTTCATGAACTCATCCTAGAAAAAGTATGTAGCACTTACTTCATTGCTGAATATCACTATGGTCACCTTCGAAGTACTCCCCTTGGGAAGCTATACACCAATGCCTAGTCCACCCTTCAAAGCAGTTTTGGAACCCTTTTTCTGGAATGGGCATCAGAGCTATCATCATATTACCCTTGATGTCCTGAATGGCATCAAAATGTCATCTTTTCAATATTTCCTTTAGGGCCAGCCGAGCGGCTCAGTTGGTTAAGAGTTAGCTTAAGAGCGTGAGCTCTGAGCAACAGGGCCGCTGGTTCGATTCCCACATGGGCCAGTGAGCTGCGCCTAAGCCGAGCTGCCACTGAGCTGCCAACAGGTGGCAGGATGGCTCAGCTGGTGAGAGCACATGCTCCTAACAACAAGACTGCCTGTTTGATGGTGGGCTATGCCCACCCGCAACTAAGACTGAACTTGGCACCTTGAGCTGAGCTGCCACCTGGATGGCTCAGTGGATAGAGCACATGCTCTTAACAACAAGGCTGCTGGGTTCGACTCCTGCATGGGATGGTGGCTATGCCCACCCGCAACAAAGATTGTAACACAGCACCTTGAGCTTAGAGGCCACGAGCTGCCAACAGGCAGCCAGATGGCGAATGGCGCCCTCCATAGCTAAGATTGGAGAACAACAACTTGGCTGGTCCCCCTCCCCAATTCCCCAACACTGTACTCCTCCCCCAATCCCTCAATTGAAAAAAAAAGAAAAGAAAAAATATTTCCTTTATCTTCGGGTAAAGAAAGAAGTCATTGGGGGCCAGATCAGGTGAGTAGGGAGGGTGTTTCAATACAGTTATTTGTTTACTGGCTAAAAACTCCCTCACAGACAGTGCCATGTGAGCTGGTGCATTGTTGTGAAGCAAGAGACATGAATTGTTGGCGAAAAGTTGCTACACATATGCATACATAGATAATACACATTTCAACATTTAAACACAAAAGTTGATCACAACTAATGGCTTCTTCAAGCAAGGGTTTAAGAGACCAATTTCAAGTATAAATTTTTTGTCATAGCTGGGATTTGACATTGATTTCACATTCAAAAGATTTTTGATCCGCAAGTTACATTACCATTATCATGACAGTATTTACCCTCCTTCACAACCACACATCCTGTGGCCATTTTCTAACAATGGCTGCTACGTCTGCCAGGCCTGGGCTCCTCCCCAGCTCAGTCCCCCTGGGTACAGGACAGGCATATACGGGATGGCTGTGGTCTTGCTCAGTGATGCCCTGCACCACCAGTCCTGTTCTCTGCATAAAAGTGATGCATGGTGAGTGTTACATGAATTGTGTCCTCGAAAAGCCATATGTTGAATTCCTAACCGCCAGTACTTCAGAAAGTGACTTTATTTGGAAATAGAGTCACTGAAAATATAATTAGTTAAGGTAAGGTCATACTGGAGTAAGGTGGGTGTCTAATCCAACAAGACTGGTGTCCTTATAAAATGGGGAAATGTGGACACAGAGGCCTGCGAACATGAAGGCAGAGATCAGGGTGATGTGTCCATAAGCCCAGCAATGCCAAAGAGTGTCAGCAAATCATCAAAAGCCAGGAGAGAGGCCTGGAACAGACTCTTCCTCACAGCCCAGGAGGAACCAACCCTGAGCTCTAGCCTCCAGAGCTGAGAGAAGATAAGTTTCTGTTGTATAAGCCACTAAGTTTATGGTACTTTGTTACAGCAGCTCCCTAGTGAACTACCACAGTGCGTAAACAATGTATCTTTAGGCATGATTAAAGTTTGCAATTGTAAATGTGATGTTTTCAAAATTCTGGTAGTCTAGTATACTCACAAAATAGACACGATCTGCCTGAGAGAGAGTCCAGAAGGAGAGATGGTGTATCATTACTTCTCTTAGAAGTGTTTCCAAGGAAATCCGAAACCACAGTTAATAGTAAGACCTTGCTCCAATACCGACTCCCTTAAAACAGAGATCTGTGTGACGTGACTCCCAGGTCACAAGGCTCGCAACATAGCACAGCCCATGGACAGGAGAATCTGAATCCAAATCTCAAGTTCACTAATTTCAAGTACATGAAATTAGGCAAACCATTAACCTCTGCAAACAGCAGTTTCTTCATCTGTAACAAAGCAAGAAAAATGGTACCTACCTCATAGGCCCATTTCAAGGATTAAATGAGCTTCCTGTGATCTGTCACTAAATGTATTAGGCTAATGCGATATCCGTCATATAGGAAACATATACTACACTCTGAAGTTCAGCACACAGTAAATAAAAGTTGTCTTTAAAGAGGCTAAAATACCATTTACTGCTAAGATCCCTTAGAAAATAATATATACAGAAATACTAATAACGCCTAACTTGTTATGTTAACCTAGTCTGCAGAATTAAGGAAATGATCCATAATGTGGATTTCTAAATGTCACCAAAAGACCCTCATTCCATGAAACAGGTTTGGGGCTTTTTAATTCAGGCTGCCAAAGAATATTTATTTCTACCTGCTCCTCCCACGTGCTCCCAGGATAAAGGCTCCAAAGCCAAAATCACTACCTTCAAACCAGCAAGCCCAAGGGGAACAGATTCCTTTCCCTCTTCTTTCCAAACCCTGCCTTCTCTCCTTCCCACCATGAACTCCAGAGTCTCTTCTAGCCATAAAATGTCCATGTCCCTGTTTAAAAAAACAGTAGTAGTAATGAACTTCCAAGAAATGAAAGTTGGAGCCGAATCCATTCCCAATTAACCATCTCAGGAAATGGTGAAAATAACCTTCCCAGGGAAGCCCTTATCTTATGCCCACACAATGCTGCCTCTGTACAGAAGCAACATCCTCTCGCCGGGTTCTTCTCACAATGTCTTCCTCTCTTCTAGTTGCGCTCTGCCTCCCCTGGTGACAAGCTGGAAAATACACTGGCGGTGGTATGACATCAAATCTACGTGAGTTTCCAGGTTGAATGTTTCCATTAGTTAAAACTTGGGAAATACTTCTTGCAACTTTAAAAATTCTAAGTCATAAAAATGACCAAAATTCCCACTGCATAATCCTCTCATTTACATTTCTTCCCCTGCATCTCAAAATTCCTCAGACTTTAAGCACCTGACAAAGCTACAAAGACACCTAAGTCATGCTTGAAACAAGCTCTGTCTTCAGCTACCTGAGCTGTCAGTAGACACTCGGTCACTTTGACAGAATTCTTTCGGAAAAGAAGACACTAAACGGTGACTACAGCCTAATACTGGTAATGGGGGCCTCAAGGATCAGTCCCCAGAGAACCACAGGTGCAGACAGTGTGGCACAAGCAACCAGTTTTACAAGTTCCCCAGCAATGGTAGTCCGAACAAGCATGAAAGCAAACTCAGACCCCTGTGTAAATGAAGAATACATTCTAGAATATATATTGGGTTGTCGGAAAAGTCATGACATATTTTTTCTGTTTTTCGTTGCAAAAATGCATCATGACTTTTCCGACAACCCAATAGTATGTGAGCAGGGCGACAGAGGCTCTAATGCCTACATTTGAAGAAACAGCAAGTCACATTATTTAAGCAGTGGACGTTATGTGGCCAAACTTACGCCCTTTGTCCGTGCCTCTGGGAGAAGGGGCCTACCATCCCAGCAGCATGGCCATCTTGAGTCTTCCTTAAGTCACAGGCATCTATTCCAAAGAACAGTGAACAGCATCAAAGCAAATGCTATTACAGGCTCAAGTCTGTGGCTTGTTTTCCGTTCTGCTTGATATTTTCATTAAGCATAAAAAGGACACGAGTGCTATGGTCAGCTGTCAGGGAGGACCTCATGTGCTTTGCTATTTCCACCATGATGGTGGAACCCTGGGCAACTCCCTATATGTTCTGCTTTTCTGCAAAATAAAAGTTAGATTATTTGGTAAGGAACAAGAATTGGGTCTTATCCATGTTGGCATTCACTATGCCAGCACTTATAGCTACCGCTGAAATGTTTGTGGAACGATCTCTATGGTCTCATCTAGCCATAAAATGTCCTTGTCTCTATGATTATATAGCTAGGTTCCAAAAATATAGTACAGTAAAATAGTGATGAGAAGAAATATCTTCCCTTTCTCTTCTGAGAGTATATACACATAACATACACATATGTATGTGTGCATATATATAAATATATGTCTTCTTATATGGATATGAATAGGTATATGGATATAGGTGTGGGGTATGTGTATGAACATGTGTGTATCCCTCCACATTATCTATTTTTAAGCTGGGGGAGGCACCTGGCTGAAGAAGTGAAAATGTTATGATTAATAAAATGAAATAATGAAAAAGAAAAATATTTTTAAATGTATAAAGTATTAAATAACAGGTACTTAAGAATTCTTGGACTATTTAGTGAGAAAAAATAACATGTTTAAAAGGATGGAATGGAATAGTGTAGTGCTATTATTCTAATTATTTTAAACATCACCACAAAAAAAAAACAACTAACTATATGTTATCCCCTATATACCAAGCAAAATATTTCAAAAGCCACAGGTGACCTGAATAATATGTCTTTTGAGAATGTGCAAGATATTTCAAGTATAGAAATACATACTATTAATTTCCAGAATGGTTAATTAAAAAGAGTTGTCAGACCCAGGCCTTGAATTTTTCAAAATAAAAAATCCTATCTTGGCAGGGGAACCTTATAAATGTTGGGGAGAGCTAGTTTGGCATCACATCTTATTAGGTGCCAGCTTACCCTTCTCCCTTCCAAGCTACAGGGCATCATCACAAAGAAGTCTGCCTGCTCAGTACAGGTCCAGGCAGCCTCAGATTTTGGATTCTCACCTTCATTAATTAGTGTCAAAGGTGCATGGAACTTCTTAGGTATTTTGACGATAATCTAAAGACAGACAAGGGAGGCTGCAGAGACATGTCAGCCATGAAAACTCTTGAAGACATAAAAATGGAAAGTAGTAAACATCTAGGAACCACAAGTCTCCAAATTCTCCATATGGACAGCAGGGCAAATTCTGGGGTATCAGAGACCCTCTGCATACCTCTGGGCTCTCTGGGGGGACAGTGGACTCTCAAAGCCTTGGTCCTCCAAACACAGGAACTTTACTCACATTAAAGTACCTGCTTTGGAAGCTTTTGGCATGGGTGCTGGGGTGACAGGAAACAAGACCCATTCCACAGTCAACTACATCTTGGGGGGGGGGAAAAAACTAGAGAATAATCCTCGGAAAATGAGACTTGAATATTATAATGCTTTTTAACCCCAAATCACACATTTCAGTTTAGTCTTCTGAAGAAATGGCTTATCGGTTTCTCAACTAGGGAAAAAGCGTTGAGGATATAATACCTGAACTATGCTTTATGTTCTTTCTTTTCAAAAATATAAATTCTCCAGTGACTCCTCTGAGCGCAAAAAAAGGACAAGAGACAGACCCACCCGCCACAGCATGAGAGCATGGCTTTAAATACATATATATAGAGAGAGAAACGGGGGGGGGGGGGGGGGGGGCAGAAAGAGAGAGAGAGATACATCTCTCTCTCTCTATCATATATATATTTTATATATGCTATAAAATAATCCTCAGACATCACAACTTTCTCAGCAGGACCAGGAAATCGTCATCTAGCTAAAATTGATATTTAAGAAAGGATTACAGCCCTGGAGTCAAATGACTTTTTCAGTGTAGGAGGCGCATCTGTAATCACATTCAGCGGACAGTTACCAGGAAGAGGCTAAGCAAATGGTTATTTCGCTTAAGTGTAGGGGAGGCTTAAGCTCGAGAAACCGTAAGACAGGGAAGAGGAGGGGAAGGAGGCTGACTGCAGAAGTTTGGGTTTCTGCACGTGGTGAACACAGCTCCGGGGAACAAACCCTAAGGCCAATACTCCCACAATCTCTACATCACCGGTTATGCATCACCCCGAAATAAAAACACAGCTGCTATTGCACAGCCCTTCGGTCACGCAGGAGGCTGAGACTTGCTCTTGGCACAGCAGGCGGATGTGGGCGGCTGAGAACCACTCACGTGGGGGCGATCGCGCGCCGCGCCCTGCTGGGAAGCCTACGGCCCAGCCTCGACAGAGGACTGCTGGTGACTGTCACCTTCGGACAGGCGGTCCCCACGACTAGCGATGGCGGCCCTTCCAACCAGGCGAGGCGCGCAGGGCCCGGCGCCCGGGCGGTGCGGGGCACCTGAGGAGCGCGGCGGGGACAGGGAGCACCTTGCAGCGCTAGCTCACCACGAAGCCCTTGGGCAGGTCCACGTACTGGCCCCACTCCTCCGCAAAGGGCTGCACGACGGCTTTGCGGTGCACGTCGCTGGTCGCCGTACAGGCTGAGGAACTTCTGATGAGCAGCTCGTAGCCCGCACCCTGCGGCACGGACGAGGCGGCGCGGAGACCACGAAGCAGAAGAGAACCGGCACGGGTGCCCGACAGCGCCCCCGCCGCCGCTGCTGGGGAGCGCTGGTTCCGCCGCCGCCGCCAAGTTCCCCGAGCGTCTGTGGGCTCCGTACTGCGAAGGAGCGGGTCCCTGCTGCCTCGGCTCCAGGGCTGGCGGGTCGTGGGGCCCAGGTGCGCGCGCTCGAGAGCGAGCCTGCGCCCCACGCCCGGCCGCCCTCTCCCACTTTTCCAGCGGCCGCTCTGCGGCTCCGGGCGCGCCGCCCCTCCGACTGTCCGCAAGGAGCCTGGTCGCCTCGCAGACCCTTACCCGCCTCGGCTGCCCCGGTGCTCTCATCCACAGACGAGGTTTGGCACACCCCTTCCACCCCGCTCCCCCCACCTCCGAATAAGCGGTGTTCTCGGGGAGTTTAGAGCTGTGCGTGGGGATCCAGGGCTGCCGGACGGAACCTACTGGCACGCGTCACGTGTCCGCCTTGTGCAGAGACCTGCAGTCCTCCCCGAAGCTGGCAGCAGTAATCTTAAACCTAATAGGACGGTCTGATAGATTTTCTAAGAGCAGTAGAGTTTATGATACTTCCTTAGGCCCGTTCCAAGGCTCGGAATTTCGTGGGGGTTTTTCGGTCACCTGGAACACAATATCTCCAGTAATTGATTTGAGATCTTGACCTCTCTTTATTTCAGCCCAATTTCTGGGAGAAATTGGAAGGGGAATTGCAAACTATAAAGAGGTTTGAGAGTAAAAATCAGGACTTTATAACCCCCTGCCTTATGAGCACTGTTAAGACACTGTAAGTGACTTGAATTAGATAAGCATACATTATGAACAAAGTCTCCTTAACATCTACTCCTGGGAAGGTAGGCGCATGAGTCAAACATAAAATTAGAGGTTAGATATTAGGGTTTTCCAATTCTTACAATGTAATAACTTTTAAGGCCGGGTTTCTCAACTGGCATTGCTGATGTTTGGAACAATACTACAATCCTTGTTCACGTGGGCGCTGTCGTGTGTGTTGGTAGAGTGTTTTGCAGCATCCCTGCTCTCTATCCACTAGATGCCAGTAGCACTCCACTCCTCCAAAGTGTTTCCAGACGTTGCCAGATATCCCCCGGGGGCAAATTTGCCCCCAGCTGACAACCGCTGCTTTAAAGTGATGCTAAGACCATCCTTTGGCTTTTATTTCTAATTTGTACCCGAGCTACTAAAAATAGTCTGTTTTCTGGCTTCTTCTGAAACTAAGAGATTACATTTAACACTTGTCTGAGCCCATCAGACCCAAAGTGATATTTTTGTACATATCACTCTATTGCAATGTCTTCCATATGTAGACTTGAAAATGTGTGCTAATAAGACAAAGGTACTTCCTCTAGAATCACTGATTTTAAAAGGTACCTATTCTGGGTGGACTAATTATGAAAGTGTTCCTTCTAGGCTATGGGCAAGACCTGACAGTCAGAACCCTTTTATCCACACCAGTGCTACCACACAAGACCAAACAACCATCATTCCTCATCTGACTTTAATACTATTCTCATAAACGGTGCCCATTCTTTGATTTTTGTCCTCTGAAGTCCATTTACCACATGACCATCAGAGTAGTACTTTTAAAAAATAATATTTTCAGAGTACATCACTTTTCTGTTCAAAATTCTCCAGTACATAGATCTCAAGAAAATTCAGATGTTGGAATTAAAAGAAGGTTATAGTAGTTATTATAAGTACATTTAAGAATGTAGGGCCAGCCGAGTGGCTCAGTTGGTTAAGAGCTCGCTCAAGAGTTTGAGCTCTGAGCAACAGCGGTTTGATTCCCGGCCCAGGCTGAGCAGCCGCTGAGCTGCCAACAGGTGGCAGGATGGCTCAGTTTAAAAAAAAAAAAGAATGTAAAGGATAGTCATAAGAATGAACAGTTGGAGAACATCCCAGAAAAATTAAAAAGACAAAAAATAAACAAATGTAAGTTTTAAAATGGAAAAGTACAATATCTGAAATGAAAAATTCACTTGGATAGTCTAAACATTAGATTATAGGTTGCAGAAGAAAATATTAGTGAAATTGTAAGCTAATAGAAATTATCTAATGTGAAGAACAGAAAGATTTTGGGGGTTATCTCCACTTTATTTTTTAAATTAAATTAAATTTTTAACTTATTTTTCAGTTATGGCTGACATACAATATTATATTAGTTTCAGGTATACAACATAATGATTAGACATTTATATACCTTATGAAGTGATCACTCCAATAAATCTAGTACCCATCATACATAGTTATTACAATATTATTGGCTGTATTCCCTATGCTGTACTTTACATCCCCGTGACTATTTTTATAAGTGGCAACTTGTACGTCTTAATCTCTTTCACCTTTTTCGTCTACCCCTCTTAACCCCACTTCCCTCTGGAGACCATCAGTTTGTTCTCTGCTTCTATGGGTCTGTTTCTATTTTGTTTGTTCATTTATTTTGTTCTTTAGATAGATTCCACATATAAGTGAGTGATATGGTATTTGTCTTTCTCTGTCTGACTTATTTCCTTGGCATAATACCCTCTAGAGCCCTCCATGTTGTCTCAGATTTCATTCATTTTTGTGGCTGAGTAATATTTCATTGTATATATGTACCACTTCTTCTTTATTCATTCATCTATCAATGGGTACTTAGGTTGCTTCCATATCTTGGCTACTGTAAATAATGCTTCAGTGAACATAGGGGTGCATATATCTTTTTGAATTAGTGTTTTTGATTTCTTCAGATAAATACCCAGAAGTGGAATTACTGGGTCATATGGTAGTTCTGTTTTCAATTTTTTGAGGAACCTCCATACCAATTTTCATAGTGGCTGCACCAATTTGAAACAATGCATGAGGGTTCCCTTTTCTCTACATCCTCACCAACACTTGTTGTTTGTTGATTTATTGATGATAGTCATTCTCACAGGTGTGAAGTGATATCTCATTGTGGTTTCAATTTGCATTTCTCTGATGACTAGTGACGTTGAGCATCTTTTTACATGTCTGTTGGCCATCTGTATGTTCTCTTTGGAGAAATGTCTTTTCAGGTCCTCTGTCCATTTTTAATTAGATTGTTTATTGCTTTGATGTTGAATTGTATGAATTCTTTATGCATTTTGGATATTAAGCCCTTTTCAGAGGTTATCATTTGCAAGTATCTTCCCCCATTCAGTAGATTGCCATTTCATGTTATTGATGCTTTCCTTTGTGGTATAAAACCTTTTCAGTTGGATGTAGTCCAATTTGTTTATTTTTGCTTTTGTTGTCTTTGCCCTAGGAGACATACCCCCCAAAATATTACTAAGACCGATGTCAAAGACTTTTACCTAAGGGCCGGCCGAGTGGCTCAGTTGGTTAAGAGCTTGCTCACGAGTTTGAGCTCTGAGTAACAGCGGTTCGAGTCCCGGCCCGAGCTGAGCAGCCGCTGAGCTGCCAACAGGTGGCAGGATGGCTCAGCTTAAAAAAAAACCCACAACAAAAAACAAAAAGAAGACTTTACCTATGTTTTTTTCTGGAAGTTTTATGGTCTTTTTTATTTATTTATTTTTTTTATTATGAAATACAATTTTTAAAAAAAATTAGTTTCAGCTGTACAACACAGTGCAATAGTTATACTTTTTACCCCTCAAAGTGACAACCCCCTCCCCCAATCCACTGCCTCACTTCCCTCCCAATATCATACATATCTATTACAATTCCCTTGACTTCACTCCCACACTCCACTCCACGTCCCGTGACTATACATATATATATATATATATATATATATATAT